ATGTATATATCAAATGGTAGGGGAGGTAGACTTAGAACTTGGGGTTAAAATAAACTTCCTCTAAACATTAAACACTCACCTTTACTTGAGAGTCTTGTCACTACTAAAGACGTGGCTTTTTTTAATAATCACTTTTTTTAACGGCACGGCACGGCAATATGAAATATTGATAATGACTACCGGAAAAACAGCGCTAGGCACAACAGTATAGGGCTAACTGAAACAGATTTTGAATTTAAGATAAGCAAACCGAAAGATAGGAGCAATTGAGAAGGTTACATACGCACAATTTATGCGACAGACATAGAAAGAGGGAATCCTGGTTACATGGTTAAATAATGAAACCGATCCTTCGCTTGACAGGCACTTTGTAACAAATTTGATCAAAGCTGAAGAATACAAAATCCAAAAAGTAAGTAAATGCCAATTTATGTATAGGCGGGTGATCAAAGCTATCCACACCATTGTGAGCAAGTGCCCACAATTTAGCACAAAAGAATATAAAAAGGCATCAGTGCATGGGAAAGAAAGGTCATTGTGACCTTTGTAAAGAGAAAGTGTCATTGTCAATCAAAAACAATATTTGTTCATAGGTATGTAAATTGTCTGTTCTACCTGCATATAATTCTCATTTAAGACGTGTCCTGGGTTGCATTTTGACGTACGGTACCAATTGTTTTTGGTAATAAAGAATATGGGAATTTTTAATATTAGCTTTAAAAAGTAGAAAGAAATTAATTCCCTGATTAATTGCATACGTATGAAGAATAGTGTATGCATTATTAATTGCAATAGTGTGAGCTGTTTAGACACTTATTAGATTGGCTTTTAATCGCTTTTAGGATCCTTAGGATCCATTGAGTTTTTTTTATTTGCTAACCACCCCCCCCCCCCTCCGTTTTACCGATGTTCACAAGTAAATCAATGGTTGGGGAGACTTATATAAAAAGTCATAAGAATGGAATAAAATTTATATTTTAAAAATATGTTTTTGTTGTACCAGTAAACATGTTTGCAGGAAATCCTGAGCTTTTTAAGTGAAAAAAATGGAAAAACGACCGTTAAAAATAAAAATATATGTTTATTGAAAAAAAAAAAGAATCAGAATTTCCTCAAAACTTATGAGGGAGGGAGTGATAAACTAATATTTTTTTATGGAGCCTTATAGGTCTATTCTTTTAAAAGTCATGCTTGCATATGAAACAGTCCAATCATGCAGATAGTGGAGTGCTACCCTAGGGCACGTTTGTAGAAAAAGTTCAACCAAACAGATATACACTGAGAGTGCTAAAGCCACGTTGGCAGACGACACAGTTCGATCATGGAAGTTGTGCTGAGAGTGCTACTATAGGTTACTCTCCTAAAAGTCACGTTTGTTGACGGCCGTCTTCAAACATGCAGGCAGTGCGGATATTCCTATAAGCCACGTTAGTAGACGACAAAGTTCAATCATGGAAGTAGTGCTATTAGAGAGTACAAACACGCGTGGCGTCAAAGAAACCTACTCTGAAAATTGAATAGGACTACCTTGGCACAAATCAAACAAACAGCTAGAAACAAATCCTAAGTTACTATGGCAAGGAATACACGTGTTGACCTATCACCTAAACTTTATTGAAAACATATTGACAAGTAAAAAATAAACATTAAACCCTACACTTATCAACTTCCTTATCAACTCGAATTTCATGTACCATTGAATAATGTCGAAACATGTTTTACGATTCAAATAATCAATGTATTCATGTCTACAGCATTGGCAATGATTACTGTATTACTGATATTAACAATTTCGCAGACAGAAAGACTGGTTAATTTCATTTCATTTATTTCTCTCAAAAATATTCAAAAAGGAAGAACAAACAGATGCAATGAGAAACAACAAGAGAGGAAAACCAAAAAAGCGAACTAAACCAACTATCGAGTGGTTCCCCTAGATATTAAAAATATCACAATTATCAACAATAAAGATAAAATATAGATCATTTGTCAAAAAAATTCAAATCATTAATAATGTAAAACTTTGTATTAAAATGTAGGAATTAAGTAAAGTTACATTGGAGTATCAATTAAGTAATGGTAAAATTGAAGATGAAACTAACATGTAAAATGAAGCTTGAATGAAGATCTGTGGAAATAATTTAAATCAAACAAAAGGTTGTTTCTGAGATAGTTGATAGTCAGCACATGAATTTATGAGTCAAGAAAATACTTAAAATGAGCCAAAAAAAAAAAAGAAGTACTACAGCAGAGAATTACAAAAGACAAACAAGTTTGTGAATAGGCTATCAATTAGAGTAAAAAATGCTTAAAAGGAGCAAAAATATAAGGAATGGTACCGTACTGCCGCAGAAAATAACAAAAGACAAACATGTTTGTGAGTAGGCTATCAATTAGAGTAAAAAATGCTTAAAACGAGCAAAAATTATGAGAAATGGTACGGTACTGTAGCAGTGAATAACAAAAGACAAACATGTTTGTGAATAGGCTATTAATCAGATGAAAAATACTTAAAATGGGCAAAGAAACAGTACTGCAGCAAGTTCGTGAGTAGAACTGTCATAATTCGCACTTACTATCAGTGTTGTATATAGGCAGGAATTTCAAACATTATTAAAATCATTAAGGTCCCCTGGTGGTATAGCTTTAATCTCTAACGTCTAAAATTCATCGATTAAATATATGATTCTTTAAAATAATTAATCGTCGTTGGTTTGCCGGTAGTATCTGGGCCCACACGCCAACAAGTATCAAGCAAATTAAAACATGATATGAAACATAGTTGGTTGAAATATACATATTTATACTAGGCCTCCCACATCATATAAAATATACTTAGTAAGACGATCCATAGGCCTACAACTACACAGTAACTAGACAGCCGTGAATGCCTACAATATATTTAATGTTTAATACGGTTTCTCCATGGAGCACGTGGTCGGTATAAACCTACCTCGATACTCAAACACATAATATAAACTGTATATCACATTTCCTCGTGTTGGCTCTCGATTGCTAGTAGTTCAGTATTTATTATATTAAACATGTACTCAGCAAATATGTTCCAGGCTATTCTTCTTTCTTTTGAAAATTCTCCACCAAGAGACTCCTCAAACGCATCATCAATTAATGGACCAAGAGCCTAAAAGACATGATTAGGGAGCATTATATAGCAAGTTTTATATTCGAAAAAATAACATGCCTACAGTAAAAGCGTCGTGAACTTCTTCATGAATCAATATTCTTTATTATGGTTATATGCCCATCCAGGTGTAATTGCATAAATTATTTACCTGGAAGTCGGTTGTTTTAACCTTAAATCGATGGTGAGATGTAGCTAGACCGATTAAGAGCTGTTCGAACATTTCGGGCTCATTAATGTTCTCAATACACGTTGACAGCAATCCCATAAATCGTCCCGAATGTGCACGTAATTTTGGACTTTTTGCGAAGGTCTCATCGAAAGTTAATTTACGAAGAGAGGGAAACATTTGCCTCGTCTCTGGATATTTAATAAATAGCCTATAAAAAAAAATAGCACATGTATTTAATAATTATAGATTTATATATAAGGTACTCGAATTGAATACATATTTTACTTTATAAAGAACTCATTTTCTCTCTGATATTTATATGAGAGTTTGGCCTACAGTGATCTTACATAATACAGTAGTTTCCCAGTAATAATAATGATAATAATAATAATAATGATAATGAAAATAATAATAATAATAATAATGATAATAATAATAATCATTCATTCATTTCATAAAAATAATATTAATAATTATAATAATAGCTACACTTATAGCACATAATGATAAGCAACGACAGGTATGTGACACAGTTTAGTATGTACATGCACTCTAAATTATGATATGAAATAAAATGTTTGTAGACCTAAGAATTTAATTATATTAATATATTACAAGACTATTTGAAATTAGAAAAATTAATTTAGCATACTTTACAAATATTTGACATCCGATGTAAATTTTATTCTTATTAACTTCTGTCCACATTTGAACAACAGATTTTCTTTGACGTGATGTTAAACCAATTTTATCTTTTTCCAGGTCATCTGTATCAAATAAAGTAATAATGCATATATAATATAAATAATAATAAACACAATTAAATTTTTAAAAAATCTTAAGCAAGCCAAAGCATACAAACCCAGCATCTAAAAGGTGAAAAGTGTGCCTATGAGAAAAATATTTCATCATTTGCAAGCCATCCATGGCCACCTAAAACAAGCAGATGAACGTTATTATGATTTTTGAATCATAATAACCATATTATGAGAAAAATGATCTTATAATAACTTATGAGAAAATAATAATAATAATAACTTATGAGAAAATGATCTCATAAGTGTAGATCAATATGCCTTCAGAAAATACCACTCCACCATCACTTGCCTTCATCGAGTTATAGATGAATGGATGGAAAATTTGAATGACCATGAAATGATTGGAGCCTGTTTTCTCGACATAACTAAATGCTTTGACTCCATTGATCATACTCTTCTCCTAACTAAATTAGAAAATTATGGCATTAAAGACACTGAAATCAAATGGTTTAAAAGTTATCTTTCACAGCGCAAACAAGTAGTCAAATGTCATAATAAATTATCTGAAAAAGCAAATGTTGAAATTGACATCATACAGGGTAGTGTGTTAGGACCGATCTTATTTTCATTATTTATTAATGACCTTCCACAATATGTATCTCCAGGATCATGTAGCATATATGCGGATGATGTTGTCATCTACACTACTGACAAATCGGTAGAAAATATCAATATCAAATTACAATCAATAATGAATAATGTCGCAAATTGGTATAAATTTAATAAATTACTTGTAAATTCTACCAAAACCAAACTTATGTTAATTAAAAATAGAAATGTTCGCCCTCTTTCCTCTTTGAATATTCATGTTGGTAATGAAACAATTGATGAGGTAAAAAACATCCGTTATTTAGGACTTCAA